GGTTTTGTTTACTTGTTCAAGAGTTAGCCAAGAGCTTCAATCAGCTAGTCGATTCGGATAATGAGTGTTTTCTAATTAATGAACTGTCAGGTAGCAGGAAACCACATGTAGATTCTTGGTTCAGTGTAAAATGGATCAAGCCTAGGAGAAAAAAGCGAGAGAATGGATTGTATAATAGTCTTTAATTTGGAAAGAAAATTCATAAGAAATGAAACTAGCAATACCAAACTACTTTAGAAAAGGTCAACAAATGTGTCCTGCGAATCGGATTTCAGTGAGAGTTTTCTGATAATTATTTTCTAGAAATTGATCAATGAGTCATACAATGATGAAGGAAAAAGAAAACAGGTGGCTAATAAAATTTTCTATTTGTTTGGCGAAGAAAATACTCGGTCTCGCCATGTTGACACAGCGTCGATGACACCACGGTTTCTTCACAAGACAAATTCCTACTACACGTATTTCTTAACAAGCAGTGCTGGTGTATCGTTGTTAATTTGGAGGTCTTCGCTAGAAAATGTGAATGCCGATTCATGAAACATGTCAATCACGGTAAGGTTGGAAGCCACTTCTCCTAACCCAACTCACAAGGGTCAAGCCCCGACTTGCTAGAATGTTTCACTCTTTCTGAATCCATGACCTGAAGTGGTTTCATACCGGAGGTTTGTGGGTTCTATGGGCTCGTAGTAAAACAGGACTGGTACATAAATGATACAACCATATTGCTTGAATCCTCCTGATGAAAATGTTATGCAATTGCCACATCAAGCTATAAACGTTCCTTGCAAATCTCAGACATGGGTCAATCTACCTGACTATGAAACATGGAGATCCACATTAACTGCTAATTAAACAGGAAATCAATGCAATCACGAAGCACTAACTCGTTGCAGATAAAAAGTTAAATCCTCTAAAGGGATACGGAGAGAAAAGGTAGCGCACATCGGAGACTTCAGATATAAACCTAATAAAGTATATTATCTTTAGAGAAGAGAGTTGCTAAGAGGTAACTTCATAGCTAGTAAGCAAAAAGACGGGCGTCCTTAATCTTTTGAAAGGTCTAGATGTGCTTCATTCTGGTTGACCATGGACAAATGACAGAATTGAGATACAAGGTATGAAACCCTTCTTCTGGGACAAAGCTATGGACTAATCCAAAGTCATGCATTAATTAACTATTCTTTTTAAAGTAACTGCTTTGTTTGTCAACAAATACTAGCGTGCTCGTAAGACCTCACATTTTCTATAGTGATCAAAAGGGAAAGCAAACCATGTTTACACAGCAAAATCAATCAGCCATCCGCATTGCCGCTCCTGTGAACTTCACACAAATAGGATTACAGGAAAACAACAATAAAAATGGAAAAAACAATAATTATGGATATAAAGTCTGCCATTTAATGGGCGAGAAAGAGGAAAAATTTGGAAATGCGTTTAAAGAACTCCAATGAGCAGCTGGACTACTAAACAATGGGCTATCAAGGAAAAAACAATGGATTATCCGTCTTTCATCCTTTATTTCTTCTAGTAAACAGGGAAATCTGAAGTTCAAATCCTAGCAACCATGAAAGGAAATTCATATTCAAAATGTATAGCATAGGAATCTAAGAAAAACTTGAGAGACTTTACTTTCATCCACAAACTATAGCTATTCTTCAGTTCTAACTGTCATGAAATTAAAAGCATGCTTTTACCTCGAAGGCTTCCAATTGAAGCACATAAATTCTTACATCAAATGTAAGACGCTATCAAACCATAAGAAAATACGATCCACATTGATCCCAGCAATAGGAAGGTGAGATTTTATTGCACTGTTTCATGCAGTAATTGTACCTAGGTGGAACACAACTGCTCGTCATTATCCTATTGCAAAATGCACACCAAAAAAATTTAAATTTTGATCCTCACATATGTACATGGCTAACTAAATTGAAAATCAATACGAGAGTATACAAAAGAAAAGGAGTAATGACTAAAGAATTATCAGGTCCTTTGAGGAACAAAGGCTCACTGAAATTTGGTAGGATCACAACTCCTCTTTTGAGCTTGGTGTATGTTCCCCTTCTTTGGCTTTCAGAAGGCCGACTCTAATCCTTCACACTATTTCTTAACCAAAACATTAGACCCTTCTCGTTGCCAGACTTGATCCATCATGGAATTGCTTTCCTTAAATAAACAAACTCGATCCAAAAAATTCCCGGTGAATTGACAAGCCTTCTCCAAATCAACACCTTCCAGAACATAATTCCGAGATGAATCTGTGCCAAACATGATGATGAGCCTTCTCAAAATGAAACATCCCATAAGAACCTCACTAAAATGTCACTTCAGTAGCGCGCTTTTTGGTATACCTTTTATCCTCCTAATAAGCCCATCCATCAGAATAATGCAAGTGAATTTAGGTACAGCAATGTCCTTTTGAGCCCATTCATGGAAAATTTTTGTTGCATCCTTGTATCTCCCTTGAGAACAAAGCTCATTAATCTTGTTTGAATAAGCAATTTGGATGAGGTTCGTGAGGAACATTACTGCCCTCACATCCCGCCTCTTTGATTCTAAAAACTGATCATCTGATTTTCCTTTCTCTGGTATTTTTTATATGAACTCCTCTGCGTCCTCAGTCCTTCCAGCATCAGTAAGCTCACCAAGAATAGCAGCATTATATGTATAACAATCAGGTTCTAGTTTCTTTTCGTCCACTTCTGCAAGAAGATCAGATGCTTCCTCAAATCTCTTCTCTTTGCAAAGGGCTGAAATTATCGTGTTATATGAAATGGCATTACCCTTTGAAATCCACTTGTTAAAGAGCTTAAGAGGTTTTCCAAGCATACGTTCTCTGCAAAACCCACAAAGGAGAACGCTACAAGGAAATGCGTTTGGCTTAACCTTATTCTCGACCATTTTGTTGTGGAACTGAAATGCTTTCTCAACTTGATCTTCCCAGCAATGTCCATGAATAATCGCGCTGTATGTAATTTCACCAGGGACCAAATCACTCTCCAGGAGTTCATTCAGTTTGTGTCTTGCTTGATCAGTTTTTCCAGTTTGGCATTCGCCTGCAATAATAGAGTTATAGGTGATAACACTTGGAGCGATCTCTTTCACCTTCATCTCATCCCAAAGCTTCAAAGCTTTACCTGCCTTTTCATTTTTAAAACATCCCATGATCAAAGTGCCTTTTCATTTTTAAAACATCCCATTTCGTCCCCATTTCCTCCATCAATCTGAATGCTTCATCCATCTTCCCCACCTTACAATGCCCACTTATCAAAGCATTACAAGTAACAGTGTTATATAAACACCTCAACGCTTCAAAACACCCATATTAAATTAATCAATTTTATCAAAACACCCATTAATCAATTTAAACCCCTCCTCACTACTCCCATGTTCAAAACACCCATTAATCGAAGTATTATATAATTACCACATCAGGCAACAGCTTCAGTTTTTCGATCTCTTCATTCAACCTCAACGCCTCATCAATCCTACCCTGTTTATAAAACCCACTACTCATCACATTGCACGTCCAAACGTCTGGCATCACATTATTCTGCAACATTAATTAAATAACCTTTCCTGACTCTAACCATCCTAACCTACAATACCCTAGAATCAATATATTATATGCCGTCCCATTATTTTTCATATCCAACAACAAATTCCTATCCTCATTTAATCTCCCTTTCTTACCAGATACCATCTAAGATAGTAATAGTAATACAAGTAACAATATCCGGCAAGCATAAAAATCCCCCATTTTACCTAAAACCCTTATTACTTCACCATACTTGTTCCCCATGCAAGACCCATAAATCAATATATTAACTCTTCGCGTTAATCTTAATTAAATCAGTAAAAAAAGCTGTAGGTTCAATCTTATCGAATGTGATGAAGGGTGTCTCACTAAAGCATTTAATAAAGTATTGCAAATTAACAAGTTAGGCTGCATACCCGATCTCTTCATTCTGTTAAAAATTTGCGCAGCGTGATGGGGCCTACCGCACGCTACATATGCTCCAATGGAAGTATCTAGAAGACGTTTTGGAATGCTAAAATAGGTGATGGGGTGATTGAGTTTTTGGGGGGTGGAGGAGGAGGCGATGAAGGGAGTTGGATTTTTCGGCGGAGATGAAATGTAAAGGAGGGTTTTGGCGGTAATGAAATGGCAGCGCCGGAGAAGGGAAGGGAGAAGAGAGAGCAAAGGGAGAGGTGAGTGGAGGGTAATTGAAGGAGGGAGGTATTTGAAGAACTGAAGAAGAGTGTCAGAGTTTTGAATTAGGGTCTATGAATTAAACAGAGAGATTAAGAGGTTAGGTTCTGTGGAGAGGTGGGGACTGTAGGGGTTTAGGGTTTCAAGCGAGAGGTTTTCTGAGGTTCGGACTTTTGTTAGGGTTTCTAACAGGTCATTTTGTGTTTGTGGTTTAGGGTTTTAGGGATTTTGTGATCGTGTCTCCATTGTTGAGAATTTTCGATCTTTGATTAGACCGGTTTTAGGACTTTCCCATTAGGGGTTTAGAGGCCAGGCTGAAGAAGCCGGTAGTGGAAGAGAACGGGAGAGGACGAGGAGTACCGGAAAAGGGATAGAAAGCTTCAAACGACGTCGCGTTTGGATTTGGTTAGACGAAAAGACGTCGTTTCAGCCGCAGGAACTCCGCATCTTGTAATTGCTGACGAGCCAGGTGGAGTCGGGTCAGAATCTTGTCCCGCTCACCTCCAAACTAGATTGGGCCTGGTGTGGAGGAATTCATCTCTTCTATGAGCCAGCCACTTTCAATATCCCCTGTAAAAATATAGTTCCATTTTCCAGTCACCAAGCAAGGACATTCTGTCTTCTTTTACAAGAACATGCTTCAGCGTCAAAGTATTTGAAACCAATAGCACAATGGCCTCCGTTTTCAAGTACGACTTGCCTCGGTGGAGATCTAAATTTTGCAAGTTTGCAGACTTGTTCTCACAGGCATGCCAATTGTCATACTTGGAGAAGGTAGCCAAAGAAGAATGAGAGAAGGGAAAATTTTTATATGGGGACAAGGATAAAAGTTTTGGTCAATTGCAGGAGATCTTCTACTGTTCGAAAACAAGGACTTTACAACCATTCAAATTATGCTTCTAACGCATCAAACAGATGATCATTTCATCTGGGGAAACAACAATGTCCTGTTGCTGGACCAGTTTAGTTGCCGATACAATGAATTTGTCTTCATGTTGTGACCGGCCCATCATCTGAAAAATTTAATGTCACAAGAATTCCGCCAGTGAGAAGTAATATAATTTCCACTTGCAAAAGAAAAGGAAAAGAATAATAATTTCCTCATAAATGTATCCTAACTCTATTTTGCATATTTCTCAAATAATGCAGTAAATAATAAATCATCAGTAACATAGTTATTTCAACGAAACGGGAGAAAAACTGCACTTCTTGTCGTAGATGTCTGGCGAACGTTTCTCTGTCTGTCATCATATGTAATTATATATTGCATTTGAAGAGATCACATTATCGTTCAGAACATCAGAGTCCTAATTGACAGGATTAAGCCTATGTAACCTGTGTTGTTGAATGGTAGGGGTATCGATGTTGAGAAATTTACTTGAAAATATCTCCAAACATCCCTTGCAAGAGATTTCTACGTTGCACTCCATAGAACAACTCTGCAATTTCATCTAGCAGCTGAACCATAATCATATTAGAATTCGTACATGCACCAAAGTTGATCACAAGCCACAGGTAAAAAAAAATTCTAGTTAGGAGGAAAATTGCACACCTCGTTGAATGCAGGTTCTCTGTCTATACTTGACTTATAATTTGTTCTCAGCACTTTAAAAAGTGGTAAAGCATCTCTCTGCAACCTGTCAGGAAAAAAATGCACAGAATCATTTATAACATGGATAAGCAGTTATGCCAAATACCTTCCAGGAAATAACCACACAAGAAGCTCATGATTAAAACTGAGTTGCTAATTCCACTTAAGGATGAATTACAACAAATATCCGACAATTTGAGAATCAAATTAATTTCAATATCGTATAAAGATGTCTCAAAAGTAATTAAAGATTCTTTTAGTCAATTTGGACACTGACCTCTAAAGTCTATTCCCACCATGGAAGAAAAATGCAACTTACGTTGGCAGAAGATAATTGATGAATTGGATCAAATCTGATTGCGGAAGGTCATGCTCCTTGTACTGTGCAGGTTTCTTTAGCTCGTCAAACAGAAAATTAGCATCTCTGAGATTACCCATAGATAAATACCTACCAGAGGAAGATAATTACCTGCTAAGTTAGAACTTCCCATGACTACCATTACATAATGGGGAAAGGATCAGGAACTGTAGCAGTTATTATTAACATGTTCCATGATTTTGGCATTAATAACAGAAAACCACAGGCAATTATTTTTTTAATGTTTTAGAAGTGCTTACATTAAAATTGCTCGTGCAATAGCCAAATCTTCTTCACCGGGATAACACTGCAAGGTGGGAAATCCATCAAATACCAAGAAAAAGTTAAACCTACCCTTATAAGACAAATGAAATGTTGCATCAAATCACTGGATAATGGATATGGTGTTTCTGGGTCGGTTCAGCATAAGATTACAGCAATCATGACTTCTAGATAATAATTGTTAAATAAATGATTGTAGGTTATCAGAATCTTGATGCTAATGATTTGGAGATACTTTATTAATCTTAGCTATCAAATACAGCCAACAGTCAGCAGCTAAAAACACTTCATAAACATATTTTATAAATATACAAGATAACAATTGATGGAACAGTATCGATACAATCCATTTGAATAATATTTATCTATATAGAATCATGTAACACTAACCTTGCCCATAAAATTTAGTAAAGCAGATGCAAACTTCTTTGGGTTGTTGCCTCTAACAAAATGATATGATACTCTAGTCATGTCCTGTCCAAAAGCAGCACATATCATTGATCACTCCACATAGAAATGATTTAAAAGTTAAACCATGCATAATATGGATCTCTATTTTCCATATCACCCCTTATGCAGTGCATTTTAGAGAACAAAATATCATAACTTTAAAAGCATGTAGTGAAAATTTAGTATCTGGAAAAAAGAAAGTCCAAAGAATCTGTCAAAGCAGGTTAGAGATGAAAACAGCCATCCAGAATCAAACGAATGGGAAATATGATACCATCCCTACAATGATTGTAACAACCTAAAGGAAACATCATCTTCTCCAAGTGAGTAAAACAAAAACAATCCAACCAAGAGCCAATTCGCCAGCAATTATTTACAAACAAATCAATCCAACAAAGAGCTTATAGCAAACTTTGACCTCAAACATACCAGCTCAGGAGATTCAGAATAAACATATTCAGCTAGCATAACATGTATTTCTGGAGATCCATTCCTATGAGCTCCAAACTCTGCAGACCACCTATAAACAAAATAGCTCCACATCAATGAGGCAGTTAATATCAGTGCCACAGTAAACAGTCAAATTATGTGCTACATGCACGTGTAAACACAAACACAAACACACTGCATATCTTTGTTTCCTCTTACAAGCAGATACACATGGATACACCACTTTTGTTTTTATCCATCACACCTTCCCAGACCAACCATCCTCATTGTCTCTGCCTTGTACTCTTTTCACTCCCTCCATGTATTATTTGCCCCATGTCAAATCTTCCCATGTTTTCATCTCTGTATGATGAAAGTGAAACTCAAACACTCTAATACACCCTCATAGATGCATATACTCCACAATAACAAACAGCTTCTCCAGCCCAATAAATAACAAGCCGGATGGCCCCCATTAGACAGGTTCTACACATGAACTCCAAGAAAAAATCATAGGTTTTGGAAACAAGAAAACTGGAGAAATCAGATGGAGAGGACTATTTACTCCATACACCTTTATACAACCAAAAAGGGGCTATTCAGTCCCAATCTAACAGCCAGCAGAAGAGATATAGGAGGAAAATAAAAAAAGTCATCTTAAACTATTCCACAAAAGCACATGTATTGCAGTTATTATCGCAACAGCATATTATAATTTCCAAAAAAGTACAAAAAGAGAATGACAGGATATCTCACTTGATAGCAGCTTTTAAGAATGACAAGCAGCACTCGACACGTGTTTTTGCGGCTCCAAGGGCTTCATTGAGTTGTTGCATATCGTCATCTTCCCCCAAGTCTTGTGGCAAAGGTATCTGAGGAAATGCCTTGTAGATTTTTCTGATGCGATCTAAGATGGATATTTACTCATAATTAATAAAGTTGAAAATCAAAGAAAGAACTTTCTATAAGTTAGTTTAATATTTATATAAGGCCTAAAATTTCAGTAACAAAACAGATGAAAGAAAACACCCTCTTTCTTTCCTTTTTTTTTTTTGTGAAAATTGCAGTAAGGGAAAATTAGAAACATTAAGAACCACTCCAAAACATCTAAAATTGACAAATGGAGGGTTGAAAATAAAAGAAAGAACTCTCTCTAAGTTAGTTTAATATTCATGCAAGGCATTAAAATCTCAGTAACAAAACAGATGAAAGAAAGCACCCTCTTTCTTTCTTTCCCTTTTTTTTGTCTTTTTTGAAAACTGCAGCAAGGGGGAATTAGAAAGCATTAAGAACCACATCATAAAATCTAAAATTGATCAAGGGAGGGTTGAAAAGCATTACAAGCCATATCACTAAGTTTGAACTAACCAAGTACATCATCATCATAAGGAACTTTTGCTTTAACAAGCATCTCCACAAAGATCACAGCAAGCTCCGACCCACAAGTAACCTGAGATTGGTTTGTTATGGAATAAATTGTAATTCTAGGAGTACGAGAATAGCCTGGAAATCCAGCAATATATTCCATCATGCACACATTATGTAAACGCCATGCAGACATCCAACTCAGAAAACAAAACCAAAAAGTAAATCATCTAACAAATGGAATGGAACAATGACAGCCTGATTTTCAAATGTAGAAGGTTGCTTTCCGGGGAAGAAAATCCTAAACTAACATCCCTAATCCCAATTCAGTTGGACAAGTTACATCTAAAATATGCAAAGTTGCATCCCAACTGAATGGAAGCTATGCATTTGTGTATCCATGTAGTTGCACGCAAAAAACATAAGAAATTTTCAAATGGATTGACAGATAATGTATTTTCTAGCAGTCAACAGCTTTGATATGCTTCCTCCATTCTAATATGCTGACTACCCATCAAACTTTGACATCAATCAATTTTAATAGCAGGGACTTAACAAAGGTTCCTAGCATATCGGAATTTTTCATTCATATTCTCATACTCATCGTGCAACCAGTCAGACACAGCATAAACCAAATATCAGCTTATGGAGGCAGCTTGGATATCTCAGCATCCAGCCTAATCTTTTTCTTTAACAGGACAAATTTCACATTCCCATTAGCTTCTATTTAATAATATTAGCATCCAAAAATCACCTGACAGAATTAGTAACCATGGACTTGAAAGAGAATAACCTGGCTGTTTTTCAGCTGGAGGCACGCACCCGAGTGAAGAATGTCCAAAGCTTCAGAATGTCTTTGAGCAGATACATATCTGTAACAAATTAAGTTTCAATATCATAAGGAAGAATCATCTCAGAAGAAAACAAATGGGAACAAGTTTAAATATCAATTCACATGCATGTGCCCCAATTGTGTACCAAAACAAAATTACATTTATTTAATCTATTCACATCTATCTAGACTAGTAAAAACCAATGCCATCAGTTGCACAAACATCACTAAAACAAGATTCAGTCGGGGAAAAATATACACGGTAAAATTAATACCTTGCACTGATAGACTTGTACATCTGCTGAGCTCCATAGTAATTACCCTCATTTATCACATTCTCCAATTTCTCAATATTCTACAATTGACACCAAAAACACAATGCAAAGCCATTAGAAACAATTGTAAGAAATCACAAGCTTTACACTTTTCTTATCTCATTTGCATAGCTGATGTATGATTCGACAATTTCGTGCTAAAATTTTATTCTTCCCATTATCAACATCCACTTTCAACAAAATATATCAATACAGACCATCAAGACAACAATATTACGAATCCAATTTTCTCTGCATCCAAACATGAGTTAAGAAGGGTGGTTTCCTAATTCAATTACCACTTCAGCTGGAGGCAGAGGAGCCTTCCCTGGTCTTTGTCGCGACATGTCTCCGTCCTCTTCTCGGACACAGAGATTAGATTCAGTTTATGTTGTTGTAGAATTAGCAGGATGAAACAAAAGGGACCCCTATTTTTTTTTTGTTCGGTTGGGCTTTCATTGGGCCCATAAATGGGCTGTAATGTTGGAGCTCTACGGCCCAACAAGAAAACCCCTAGAGATAAAAATCTCTTCCTTCTCGTATCTCGCTTCTGGTCAATTCCTACACTTTCTCAGTAACCAAACAAAGGTACAAAATTTGATTTATTTTTGCGGAGATGAGTTCTAATACATTACAAGCTTCGAAGATATATAGGGATCTTCTCAAATCTGTCAACAAACACATAGGAAAAGAAGGGTACAAGTATCATTTTCGAGACTATATAACGCAAGAGTTTAGAAGGAACTGCAATGATTTAGACCACTCTTCTGTTCAGCAAAAACTTAAGCTTGCTCGTGATTATACTTTCTTACTTAACAGCGTGCAGCATCACAAGGTAATTAAAATCTTAATTGGAATATAAAATGGTATTAAGATTGATGGTAATTTATTTTAGTTTTCCATTTTTGTCGATGTCTTTGATAGAGGGGCTTAACCCAATTGTTAGTTTTGCTAATATTGTACTTCTAGTCAGTGCTGGCTTAGCCTTTTTAATTTTGAGTGAAGTCACTTGGTATGAGATATCAAAGTCCAAGTTAGGACCAGGTTTAAGTTATAATTTCTCCGTCCTTAGGACTAGAGGAATTCAGGAAGGAGAAGGGGTTCCATTGTAGTGTACTTTTGGGTCGTTTGAAATCAATTCTTAGTGTTTAATTTGAATTTAATTAATAAATAAATCAAATTCATATGTTTGTAAAATTCTATTCACTTTATTTTTTATATTATCCTTATCACCACTTTAGCTTTATTTTTGTATTATTTTTAGAGATTAAATTTCATTTGGAATTCATTTACACTCAAGATGTTTTCAAATATGAAATTTTATTAAAACCTCTGAAATGATTTTAATTTAATACTTGATAGGTGTTCCAATGAACTGGCAAGAATGATGTTCTTGTAGGAATTTTTTTCTTTGTTTTGTATGTGGGTAGTATTTTAGCAGAAAGCATTTTATGGTGTTGCTTAAATACAATGCTGGTGCTGGCTTTTGTTTTTTGCAGGAGTTGCTGTTCTCTTACAACATTGCTGTGGATAGATCGGATGAAATGAAAAAAACACTACGAAAATCAGCTGGAAGTGTTGGTCTTCAGCTTCCGGATGTTTATCAGCCTTGATGGTCGGTTGGTTTTGAATAGATTCTTGTTTCAGGAAGAAAATTAGTTCAAAAAACATTGATTGAGCCAGCATTCGACTTGTTTCCTTGTTTGTTTGGAAAATTCCTTGTTTGATGCATGCAAAATACCAATGGCCACGTCTCCTTTTTTTGAATACTTTTATAGTTGAGCTAATTACTTGTCCTTCTTAATGAATTGTCAACAAAATCATTAAGGTTCACTTTCAATAAGAGATTCATCTTGGAGTTACGAATTTGTTTACTTCTCTTCTTTAGTAGGCAGTGTAATTTCGAGCGTTGTTTAGTTCCAATTGCAGCTATTTTCTATTTGAAATGATTTGCAATATGAAACTTACCCTCTTTGCCTCTCTTCGCTGTTGTGTCCATCTCCTTTTCGGACATTGAGATTTTGTTTTTATCAAGCTTGTCACTGGATACTTAATTTGTGACGTAGTAATATAATATGGATGTGCAATAGCTTATTCCTTTGTGTTCCATCTCCAATTGGTCAAACATGTTATCAGATTTTACAAAACATCTGTTATGGGGGTGCAGTAACTTATTCCTTGGACGAAGACCACCTCTAGCTAGTGTGATAAGAGTAGTATGACATTGGCAAGTCGCAATGGATATTGCTTGATTCTGCATTTATCTGAATTAATATTTGCTAAGCTAAATGCTCGATAATCAAACACGTCATCTGAATCACTTGCATGAAAATGAATGGCTAGCTAGAAACATTAATAATGTGAATTAACGAAGCCATTTAGCTGATTTATTGAGACGATATTTCATGTTGTGCAAATAAGCAAGACTGGTGTTCGCACAGCAAAAAAAGCCTGCTTTTCAAAAGATTACGACTGTGATACGTCGCAAATCCTGTCCTTGACATCAAGGGTAGTGCCCCCTAAGCGTTTCTTCTGTTTCCTTGAAAGTATTTGGTGGCAGGCACGGGTTTAAGATACAGAGAATAATGAAATGTATGCCATCTCTTGGACTTGAAAGTGTTCTCTAACTCTAGACAAAAAACTTGATCGCCTCAAAGTGTGGCAAGACAAGCGGCCCGTAACATAAAATTGATTTACGCGACTTTATTATTGGTCCCCTTCGAATATTTTGCCATAATGATAGTAATTATCGTGTTGATGTTCGACTTGAAACTAAACAACAAGCTTTGACATACTTAGGGACGAAGTGCGTGCAGTTAATTGAGTTATAACGTAGAAATTTCATGCTGCTCAGACCTGGATATGCTATCTTGGTAATGGAACTCGAACCCGTGACCAAACAACTGGAGCAGCCACCAGATTAGGCACATTTTTAGGAAAGTATCCTGATCTTTTCACATGTGTCGGCAGCATCAATGACTGAATTCATATCTTTTGTTGATCAGATCCAAACCCAGTGTCTTCGTACAAGTCAAAAGGAAACACTACAAGATAGGGAAGACTACACACCTGTCCAAACTTTCACACACGTGGCACCCTAAATCTCTACGTTTGCGACACCATTTTTCTTGTTTTGTCTTTTAACCCCTGCTTCTTCGTGATAGCTAAAGTTATCAGTAGCTAAGCTTAGCTGCGATTTAGGATATTAAACACCACGACCACCATCACCAACGATAGCAACATGGGTTCAGAGACCTTCCTTGAAGTGATATTGGCGATTATCCTTCCACCCGTCGGGGTCTTCCTGCGTTATGGCTGTGGAGTAATGATTCTTCACTTTGAACAACACCCCTTTTTTGCAATCATCATTTCATGTGTATGTTTACTTTTGCTATGGAAAAAGGGCTGATTGGTTTCGGTTTTTTGGTTATTGAATATGCAGGTGGAGTTTTGGATATGTTTGCTGTTGACCATATTGGGATATATTCCAGGGATTATATATGCCCTTTATGTATTAGTTGGATAGTGTATGAATCTCTCTTGGTGAGGTTTGCTGTTTTTACGTTTCAAGGACAATCCTGTTTGCTCCTCTTGTTTTATTGCCTTGTTTTATTGAGATCGACTGTTTTCACTTCTTGTCAGATAATCGTTGTTTGTTTCCGTATGGTTTAGATCATGGTAGACCTCTTTGTTCTTAAGTTCTTGACAGTTTGAACATTAATACATGTCGTGTCAGCTTTCTTGATCTTATATGGTTAGATCATGGTGGACTTCTTTGTTCTTAATTTTTGATAGTTTGAACATTAATGCACTTCGTGTCAGCTTTCTTGATCTCATATGGGGTATAGCATATTCAGTTTCTTTTTTATGATTTCGATCGGTTAGAAAATGGCAATTACCCCTAGCTACTTCTTTCTCGAGAGTAAGATCACATCCACATTCCTGTGAAGGAAGCCGCCCTCCTCACCAACCTTTCCACAAAGATTTCCTGAAAGTGACCACAATTACTTGTAATCCAGGATCAGCATATTCACGAGAAACAAAGATTATGGTTTTATTCTACTCTTGACTTACCTTAGTGTTACCCAAACGAATCCATTACTTTTCTCGAGTCCTTGGGGCTCAAGTAGTTCACCTGTTAGTCTATCCTCTTACTAGGAAGGATCTGCTTGGAATTTCAAGCGCTGGTTTGCTTGCATTAATATATACAAATATTAAAAAGAATAGCAAGAAAATGATTGGATTCTAGATTTGTGCATAAATTTGCACCTCTCGCACTAGTTTAGTATCTTGTGTCAAGCTACAGTTACTAGCTGATAATATTATTTAATTAATGGATATTGTAAGAAATTAGTAAGGGAAACGGAATAAATTTTTTTAATGTTACGTTTTATATAATATAAAGTATCAACTATATCTGCAAAATCACTTATAATCTTTCTCATTTTGCCTAAAATGTTGAACGGCAGTCGTTAATCATTGAATGTTGTCGCCATGGATACGCAAAGATCAAATGGTCTATGCTATGTGGCCTCTAAGTATAGAATGAGATGAAAAACATCAAGCAATCTCCTCATTAGCATTTCAATAAAACTGGAATGATGTAACCACGTGGTAATTGAATGCGGATTTAATTTAGGAAAAAATAAAAAAGGGTAGCCTAATTTATTGGAGTAAAAGTAATATTTGAAAAATAAATACAAGTGTACTGTTCCAAAATTGATTTAATTTGAGAGTATTTTTTTTTAACTTTTCAGACCAATAAAATAATTATGGATAGTATTTTTAAATTTATTTTTGATTTAAAATAAATGAAAATAATAATTTTATATTTTACATTATCATGTTAAAACTATCAAAAAAAATATGAAAAATATTAATTTAAAAAAAGTACACAAAAAGCAATTTAAAAATCCTTTTCAGTGTAAAATCTGTTGAGAGCCCAAGAAGGGTTGCGGGCTCTATTGGGCATTTTAGCCCAAACGGATTCCTGGGTCAGTGTGATCTGTAATGGGCTCTTATATTTAATTGTCCTTCAAAGCCCCAAAAGAGAAAGAGAAACCGAATGATTACCAGGACACATCCGTAATAATATACAAAACAGAAGACTATTTTCGTCGATTCATGAAAGTAGCAAGCAACCAAACAGCCCCAGTACACCTCCCATTCACCGAATTGGGGTTCCTCTCTGTTTTTTCACTAGGCGGCTACTCTGTCCCTGCATTAAACAACTAATCCCCGTCTCTTCAACCTAGCAACACTTTTCTCAGCCAAAATGGGGTCAGTCTCTCTCTTAATGCGCACCTTTTGTTCTGTTTGCTAAGTCATTTATGGCTCTGTTTCTGTTATGCTTGCTTTCTAGTTTACGGTCATCAAGTGGTTACGCGTCTCAGTTTGTTTTGATAAAATTGAGATCTTTTTGATGTTTCCGAACTGAGTTTTTCTTAATTTCAAAAAGGGTTGCTGAGAAAAATGTGGAAAGTTCAATAAACTGTGGAAGTTCGAGCCTTTCATGATTTATGTTGCCAAAAAAAAACATTTTCAAACTGTGATCTTTTTGTGATTTTTGGTTGAACTCTTGCTTTGTAAATTAACGGGGTTGTTGTTAGCATGTGTGTTTTTCTTTTTAAGCTACAACTGTATATAATTTCTTGTGTTCTTATGTCCGATCCTTGATTTGTGTTAATTTGAATTGATTGGATGGTTGGCAATTGTTTTAAGTTTTTTCCTTGATTGCGATTCAGCAAGTGAAGATTGCGGCAAAAAATGCTTATATGAACGCTTAATTTATTATTCACGCTGCAATCTGTAGATGTAGTTACTGGTTGTGCACAGATAAGTCATTTTCAATTGTTTTAGTAAGAGGAATTTGAGCAATGCTGCACCTTATTCCTGTGTTGGAACTAGAATAGGATTTGATGACAGTGGCATGGTACTATAGAAAATGCGAGGGTTTGTAACTTGGGCAATATGTGTAATACAGTAAGACTCGTGGAATGGGAGCTGGTCGCAAGCTGAAGTCCCACCGTAGAAGACAAAGGTGGGCTGACAAGTCATACAAGAAATCTAACCTTGGAAATGAGTGGAAGAAACCATTTGCTGGGTCTTCTCATGCTAAGGGAATTGTTCTTGAAAAGATGTAAGGCTTGTTTCCCATTATTTCATGTTTCAAGGATTGCTCCCATATTCATAGTGCTTACAACTGAGGCTTGGATGTTTATTAATTGGTTTATGCAGTGGCATTGAGGCTAAGCAGCCAAACTCTGCTATCCGAAAATGTGCTCGTGTTCAGCTGATCAAGAATGGGAAGAAAATTGCTGCCTTTGTACCCAATGATGGTTGCTTAAACTACATCGAAGAAAATGTGAGTTATTTGCATGGTTTTAAAGTGTTAAAAGTTTATAAGCCTAATACCATAAACTTTTATAAGCCCACCAATATTGCACGATTATATTTAGTTTCAAAGGAGATAACAGTTGGAGTCTAATTTACTGATCATTATTATCTTTTGCTCTTTTAGTATTTCCTGACACTAAGGTCAATTATTCATGGGACACTGTTGTTCCTGAAATTACTTAGCAGAAATTTGTTGTCAGAAGTCATCTTTTCTTAGAAAGCTTGAAATGGAAGGGTTTTCTATGTTATGGTCATTGTTTTGTATATGCCAGATCTAATTTGTAGTTTGTTTGGTGCTTAGGATGAGGTTTTGATTGCTGGATTTGGACGAAAGGGACATGCTGTGGGAGATATTCCTGGAGTCAGGTTCAAGGTGGTGAAGGTGTCAGGTGTATCCCTTCTTGCACTGTTTAAAGAGAAGAAGGAAAAGCCAAGGTCTTAGATTTGCTGGGAGAGCTTTTCCTTGATTCATCCGCCTTCCTATTTTACCCTTTTATCTATGGCAGGCTTTATAATGTACTGCAGAATTTTGCAAATGACTCCGTAAATTAGAAAATGAATCTGTTCGACTTGAGATAACAAAATTTTGGAGTAGAATGGTGATGTTTGATGACATTTTTCCGCATGGTGGTGCCCTTATTTTGCTTTATTTTGTTCTACTGAATTACTAACTGAGCCTGGGATGGCTAAACAGATCCTTATATTTCTTAGGTGGGAGATTTAGCTTCAAGCTCTTTATTTTTTTAGCAAGTCATTTGTGATCGAGCCATTTTAACAGAAAAAAAGCCTTTTTGATTGTTGTGAAAATTAGTCAAGTCCACAACTGGTATTGGCCTTCTACAGGGAGAAGTGAAAAAATAAGGCAAGCCATTTATTTCAAGTCTCGTTGCTTGTAAGCAACTGTTGTGTCCTAACCTGGATCCATTTCCCATCTCCATCTAGTCCTGCTATGGATAAGATAGTTGCTTGATCAGGTGTTCGGACAAGAAGTGATATCTGACGCTTAGCTAGTCAATATAGCATCCAATGCTCAATGATGCACTAACTAGATCATGCAACAGCAGTTTACCCACAAATAAGAGATGTGAAGAGAGAACAGTTATCCATTGAGTTTCTTAGATTTATCTGTTCACTAAGAAAAGTACCCGGATTTGTTGATTCGTCGATATGCTTTATGACCGCATCAATATAGGGGGAGAAGACGCTTACAAAGTCATAATTCAGCCATCACTATGGAATTCTTTGGTTGAACAATTAAGGAAAATCCAACATCTAACACCCTTGTAAATAATCGAGATAGCAAACTGTAAAGGACATTGATTTACTTCAGACTACGTAACCAAGTCCCTCCTAAAAAGCAATGCCTTCCATACGTCTACTCAGGTCATCAACCTGATTTTCAAAACTACCTATATTCTCTTTGTTATCTTCATTAAATCTATGCACTTTATTTTCAGGAACATGTGCCTTGACAACTTCAAGCTCCTTCAAAGGTTGCTTCTTCTCCTGTAAGCAGCCCGGCTCCTTTGCGCCTGCTCTATTTACAGATATCGGTGTTGCTCCCACCAATTGATGCATTCTGTTTCTTGTTCTATCTGCAGCTCCATTTGCATTACTAATACCACCTCTGTATTTGGAAGAAGTGGATTGTACACCAGAAAACTTCAGGCCTCCATTTGGTGTTATATCCATGGAATTTCCCTGGGAGAAGAATTATTAATGCATTTAAAGCATTTACTGGACAATGCATGCATCTCTACCTAGATGTGAAATTAACTGTTTCAAATCTAGTCATTGCAAAATGGAAAGCATTCAAATAAAAAAGGTTGATGGAAAAAAACCAACCGCATCAAAATATCCAATTTTTGGCGATGGCATTCGGAGACTTGAAGATTGTAAACCTTTTGAAACAATGGATGCGATAAGACTGGTTCCCTCTGGGATTTTATTGAGTTGTGCGTTCATGAACTTTGTTTTATGACTTTCATGTATCAAATATTCATTGCATTGACGTCTCTTAGAATCTGATATTTGAAAGGCATCCTTGCTGAAAGAAATCCCTCTGCATGCTGTAGTTGCATGAATGGCAGCAGATCTTGTGTTGAGAATTATGGAAGATGATTCTGAGGAGCATCCATCTGTGGAACTAGCAGGCGATGTACAGGATGACGACTTGGGTGTGGATAACAAACTAGTAGAGTTGCTAGAATTCACCAGCTCTTTTATGTTTCCAGCTGAATGTTGTCGGGGAGTTCTAGAGATTGAAGCAGAAGCAGAGACCTGGGAATTAATTGTTCTCCTCAGAGAATCTGGAGAAGATTTAACAGTGAAATTTGGAACACAGCCAGATCCTCCAAGCTCTTTCCCAAAGGGTGCAGCTGAAGAAGATGATTTCACTGGTGGTGTTGAACTACGGATAATACTGCATGAATCCCGGATACAAGTTTTCTTTGACACAATCTTGGTTCTCCCTATAAGAATAAACATACAGGTCATTACCAACAACAGTATATTCTGATGATGATGAATCAATTTTTGAAATTCTTACCAGAAGCAGCTTGTGCACCTTTGTTTTCCATTTTAACATTGTTTGCACCCGAAGAGGCCCTTTTGTTGGGAGCTGCGGATAGATTGCGACTTTGGCAGAATATATTTGGTGACTTGATAAACGATTTGGATTCTTTATTAGGTCCCTGCTTTGCCTGGTAATCATGCAGTTGATGTTACTTAATCACATTCAAAAGTTCAGTTCCTATTTACAGTAGAACACCTCTTTAATGGCTACTTAAGCTAAACCATGAAATTAAAGCGAACTGGTGACCATTTCAGATGATGCGTAGGTGAGGCCTTGGTACAGTATCAATAAAATAATGTAGTGAATATCAATCAACACTACTTACTCTTAATCGAGAGGAAGCATCCGATGTTTTTGAAGCTGAAGAAACGACAAAAGCGCATGAGTATCGAATTGAACAGGTGATTACTGAGGGTGAATACAGGAGAATAAGATACATATAACAAGGAAATGCACACAGCATAAAGCTAAAAAAATTTAAAAGACAATTGAGCAGTTACAATGACACAAATCTACAGCCAAAAAAATGGTGAATTTTTTTTTTGCTTGGTTAGCCTAACATGGCTAAGATGGACAGCAATCATATTCAGAAGAAATGAGACTCAATGATAGAATGAAATCGTTGCACAGCCAGACAAGGACAAATAGAATTCGTCCCAAAAATTGAAAGAATAACTGCCTGCTTCACTCTCAATGCCTAGATATATATAGAAACAGCAAATACTTACTATTACCCCTTTGCATTTCATGTTCTCTTCTAACTTTTCTAGATGAAGTTTCCTTAGTGGATGATGCATCGTTTGATTTCCGCATGGACACTCTCACATTGTCAAAAAGATCAATCTCAAGGCTTGCAAGGGAGTAAGCATCGGCATTTCTTGTTGAGTTTGATTCAGCAGACCTCCAGACTTCTTTAATCCCAGGACGTGTATGTCCTTGTGATAGTCGAAATCCTCCGTTAACAAAAGACAGCTCCTCAGCACTCAAAACTCCTGAGAGCAGTAAACTTTCTATTACAATTACCACAACGAAACATGAAATTCACACAACATTACAAGAAGAACAAGCATTGATTTACATATGGAGCTTTGACAGAGACTTCTAAACCATATACAACGTCACCTGAACTTGTAAAGAAGGCACTATCCCAAGTTAAACTTTTGCGCAAACTGCACTCATCAATTGCACTCTTCCCTTCTGGTCCTGCAGACCGAGAGGGTACAGACCTCAGATCCCCACCGCCAGCTGTGTCTACTCCATTATCCACAACCCGAATACTAAGCGTCTCCAACTCTTCAGGGTCCAGAACTCCTATGGAAGCACAGCACACGTTCATATTTCCAACTTTCATCCGATGACAACAATTGGCAGCACTTGTTAAGCAGGTTTTTGTCAACCTAGGAAGCAAACCTGGACTAGTGAAGAAGGCACTGTCCCATGCCAAACTTTGACGCAAGTTAAACTCGGATTCAGAACGTGAAGCATCCGTCTCTCTATGTCCAACTCCATCCGCATGATTCTGAAGATGCTGAGGATCCAGGCTCTGAACATCAACTTTCTTTCTACTGTCTGAAACGTCTGCAAAATCAAAGGGACCAAGGCAAAAGGTATAGAAGCAAAAATTTCTACACCTCTAGATTAAAAGCAAGCATGGAACCAAAGAAAACCAACAACGTTGATATGTTCTCGTTCTTCTCTCTTTAAAGAGCACAGTTCAGTGTTTTCCTTTCCATCACCATTATTAAGACAATCTTTCACATTTATTACACATCAGAAAAAAGAAAAAGAAAAAGAAAAACCCTTAATTGGGACATAAGAAAAACAAATTTGTTCTCTCTTTCTTTCCATCCACCAATATCTATAGAAAATAAATACAAAAAAAAAATGCAGGCATTTCTTGCATCATAAACAGTTATTACAGCAATTCTTGGCATTCCTTATAGTATCAAGAATACAATAAATCCATGAAAGGGAAAGGAAAAGGAAATCCATTAAATGCAAAAGCACAAGGGGATTAAATTTCAATGACAAAATACAGGGCATTTCAAAACAGAGGGAAAAAAAAGACAGAAATACTCAACATAAAACGAAGATCAAAGGAAAAAAGAAAAAAAAGAACATCAAAACCAATCTTTCTTGCATAGAAACACAGAGAGAAAGTACCTGAGAATTGAAAATCTTGAAAATTTCTTACAGCGGACATTTTTTATGAATTTTGTTTTCTTCTCGTTCGTTCAAGGATTCTTCTTCAATTCTTGAAGTCCTTTAACACACATATATTACTAATAATATTTAGAAAGGGGGAGAAAGTTTATGGAGAGGGAAAATTTTAAATTTTGATAACGAGTGAAAGAGAAATAAATTTTTGAGTCATTGAAGTCGTTATTTATAATAATTAAAAAATAAAACGGCTGTTGTTATTATTATTATTGCTGTTGATGATATTTTGTGCAGAGGAGCGGCATTGAAGATTCTAATTTTTATTGTTTTTCAAGAAGGTAAAAGTGAATAATCCTATAGGCTCCGATTGAGGGACGTAAAGGATGATGGCTCAATTACGCGCCATTTACAGGTTTTGTCCAATAAGGTCAAGTCTTTTCGGCTAATAATTAAAGGCATGGCCGCGGGAGAAACAATGATTCGTGTGACAATGTGTTTGGGAGAGTACTTATTAAAAAATATATACATATAATTTTTTTTTTAACGGTTTGTGGTAATAAAATATATATATGGTTAAAATTATAATTAAAATTATTAGTTTTAAAAGCAGTTTTATATGTCTTTGGTAAATTACTTTTGTAATTGTTTTTAGCTGTAAAATTACTAAGAAATGCGTGTATGAATTTTCAATTTATTAGTAATATTAATGTGCTTTATTTAGTTATATGTTTTAAAAAATGTTACATTTTACTTGTTTCTCAATCATATTTGTTATTCTACAATGAACATAATTCATTCATGATAGCCTAAAATTATCTTAGCTTTAGAAATATCAAACAATATCTACAAAAACATCATATGAAATGAAATGAGGAATATAATTATATTTTATAAATATAATATCTTTTTAATTTCTTTTTGATATAGTTATATAATGTCATAAATATAATTACAACCTCGACTTGTTTTTTGTAGGGTATACGAGCATAATCCATAAAATTCTTCATTCATGTTTTTATATTATAAATACATGTTCAAAGACATTATAAAATAATAAATGTACATGATTGAATCGGTCTTTTTAACTTGTTGGTTGTTCTTGATGTCAAATATCTTGAAAATGATAACTCTCTTCTTTATATAAACCTAAATATTTATATACATTTAAATATTCATCATCAATTAAATATTATTTCCTTGCAATAACAAATAAGAAAAAATGTAAGTTATTTTGAAAATTCATAATACACATGCTATAAATTTAAATAACATTTAATTATTGTAATTTATTTACCTTGGTGAGGTTTTAAAAATTTTATATTTGGATTATCAACAACTTAAAAAAAATAAGAGCATCATAAGCATTATATTTCCATTCTGTCCAAAAAATATGAATTATATGCGATTATTACATTTTATGTTGACATTGTTTTTCTACTAATAAATAAAATTTTATTTTTTTGTGATATAGAAACATGAACATGTGTACTATTAATAATACAAATGTGGTTCTATATAACAAAACAACAATCGTTTGCTAAATATAACAAATAATTTTAATTTATTTTTTATTTTAAATTACTCAATTAAAAAACAATTTAACTAATCTTAAAATGAAATATAAATTTTAGATTCATTGTAATTTTTAAAGAAATATTTAAAATTTCAGGTTTTTATTTAAAATTTCAAGTTTTTATGGTTTAATAATATTTACAGCAGATAAACAAATTATCTTCGCACTTCATTTAAAATATCGATTTATAGTTTCTCTATATTGTTGAAATCTTTCTTGGACATGTATATTCAACGCCCTCAAAGCAATTGTATAGAGAGACATTGTCACACCATGCAATCTATCTCTGTGATCAGCACAAGGAATAAATAAATAAATAATTGCAGAAGGATAAGCAATGGCAGCTTTTCTTAGCCATCATATAAGTGTTACTGAAATAAGATTTTCTTTCCTCTTTGTTCTTGTTCTGATTGTCTCCCTATTACCAACCTATCAATATTTCAAGCCGTTTGTATTCTTTTTAAACAACAAACTTCCTACCTTATCCATCAGCCAATCCTACAAAACACCACAGTTGTTGTTGATCAGGATGCAAAAATCACTCGCAAGTTCAAACTAACCTTAAACTCAGGTGTTTGGAAGAGCG